TGAAGGGCAAGATCTAACAGAGCACTCTGTTTTAGGGCTGAGCAGTGCTTTTGATTAGAAAGTGTTTCTCAACCTTGGCAACTTTAAGAGGTGTGGACTTCAACTCCCAGAATTCCATGCTGGCTCGGGAATTCTGGGAGTTGAAGTCCACACCTCTTAAAGTTACCAAGGTTGAGAGAAACACTGGATTAGATTCAGAAATGGCACTTCCGATTGTGCAAGATCACAAATACCACCATAGTTGTGAGTCTTAAAGTAGATGTGTCTGTCCCCAAGCATGGCAGCTGAAGCAGAACTCTCCCTGCTGAAGCTGTGCAATTTCAGAACAAGATGCAGCTGCTTTAATGCACTGCAGGCAAGAGCTGCAATTGCACCCCCATGCTTCGTTCGAAATCAAATCCAAAGGATTGCACAAACCTCTTCACCCTTTTCTCTTTCATCTACCGCAGAGCTGTATCCTTAAACAGTCTGGACGAATTCATCAGGCCCTTGTAGTGGGGGAATTATTTCATCAGGCTCTTAGTGGTTGATTTTATTCTTGTGGCTTTTTATAATCGGCTTTTCCTAATACATTTTAGCCTGCATGATAAAATATCATTTTAATGCGTTTCCCCCCCCAAAATGTTTGGGGTATTTTTCTGTTCTTTTTTCTCCTCATGTTTTGGGGTAGACAGAGGGGGCTGTGTTAGAAAATATTCACAAACAATGAAATAAAATAAACATGGCTATGCTCTAATTTGTGAATGCCTCACCTTGAGGGGGGAAAAAAAGAATTAAGAACTTTCTTTGGCAATTCTAGGAAAGAGAGCTGCTTGGAGCCCCATTTGCCTTTTTCTGTTTAAAAAAAAAATCATAGAGGTGTACTTCCAGCATTTTGCATAACTTGCCCCTTTTTGTTTCATGACGCTTTGCAAGCTGCTAGTAATTAACGCATTTATACTGTTGCTTTTATATTCGCAATGGGCAGCCATCTGCCAAGCCTTGCAAGCTCCAACGCATAAAATCTGGCCTCTCCAAAAACTTTTGGGAGTGCATTAGAGAGGGAAAAAAAGGGGGGAAATGTGCCCTAAGCACTGAGCTTTTTATTTGAATTCGCTCTGTATGGAATATTATTTATGGCCGCGTGAAACATAATGAAGGAACGTCAGCCCTTCCTTTGCTCCATTCAAGCAGCTGAGTAGCTCATGGCGCCTGCCTGCCGTTTATTTCAAGATATTCATCTTCTGGAATTCTCACAGCCAGCGTCGCCTAGGTGGAGGGGAGGGGAGGGTGGGATGGAGCAAATGTGCTGGCATGATCCAGCGAGAACATGAATGAATGAATCAGCGCAGACTCACAGGCAGCGGCGCTGGGCTGGAGTGAGAGGGCAGAGCCGAGGGAATCTAGGTGGTCACCAGCAGGAAAGCAAAGGTGGGCAGTTGAGCCAGAACTGGATCTGAAATGGGTACTGTAGGAAAAGAACGTTTTCAGGGAACATGGAAAACGAAAATTATACAGTCGGATGGGAGGCTGTAACCATGCAGCAGTTCTTCCCTGTGTTCTTGAGATAAGAAGCAATGTTTTTTGCCTCTGAGGAAAATAATTGTTGAAACGTGTTGGCACATTAAGAGTTTTTTCCCAAGAATCCATTTGAGATCTAACTTCTCATTTTTGCTTTAAAAATTGTTTTGAAACACCCAAGGGCCAAACAAGAGGTAATTTTCTTCAGATCCATAGCTGGATTTCCAAATGTCTCCAAATAACTAGTTAAATCTCATTTTCTTCCTACCATGGAAGAGGAAGAAGAAAGGGAAAAGACGGATTAAGCTTTAAGCCTGGGTCTATGTTTGGGAAGAGAATACAGTAGAATGGTAGAACGTGTAGAAAATCCTTGATTCAGTTCCTAGCATCTCCAATGGCAGGCAAGAAAAACAAAGTTACCTTGGTCTAGTTTATTTATTTCCTAGCTTACTTAAGATATTTCTTTTACATGGGAATATTGGACAATTCCTTGTATCGAGTCAGAGAATTGGTTTGTTGAATTTAATGTCTACCTGGAAGGGCTGGAGACTGAATCCAAAAAATGTCTGTGTGCAAAACAGATACTCCGCCACTACGCTACAGCTCCTGGGGTTGAATCAAAATCACCCAAAATGGTGAACGGTGTTAAAACTCCCAACAAGATTTGTAAAACCATCCCAGATCTTGGACTGATTTGGAAAACTGCAGTGACAATGGTGGAGAACATCACAGAATTAGAGAAGAATCAAGATCAAGAAAAGCTGAAACCAACCTCAGCAGCATTTTACAGTTCCTTTGAGTGATTCAACTCTTAGCCTAGGCCAGTGTTGCTCAACCTTAGCAACTTTAAGATGTGTGGACTTCAACTCCCAGAGTTGAAGCTGGCTGGGGAATTCTGGGAGTTGAAGTCCACACATCTTAAAGTTGCTAAGGTTGAGAAACACTGGCCTAGGTGGAAAGGATTCTAAGGTCAGCCCTTGACAGAGCTCTGTTACGTGTTTGGATACATGGTGTGCCTCAGACCTTCAGTGAGAGAAGTTCCACAAGGGAATGTAGCCACTGATCAATACTCATTTGTGACAAGCCTATGAACAGGGACTGTGACATCATCTGTACTGATGTTGAACTGCACATGCAAAAGCTAACATTGGGAACATGAGGTTCTCTATAACAATATTTGAGGTTCTCCAAGATTGCTGCTAATGCAGCATTAACATCTACAGGGAGGTTGCAAGTGGGGCTATCTAGAAGCTCCAGTTGGTACAGAATGTGGTGGCCCATCTACAGACAGGTGAGAGCTGTTACAGCTATGTAACACCAGTTTTACAGGTGCTATATTGGATTCTAATACATTTCTGGGTCCAGTTCAACATGACCAGCTCTACATAACTGGTTCCCAGATGTCTTCAGGGGTGTCTCCTTCAAGGAGATCTGACCAACCCAGTATGATCACCCCAGGAAGACTTGGTTAAGTTTCCCCTCTCCCCATGAGTTGGCTGAGGGGGCATCTGGAGAAACCCTAATGTGTCTCAGGAAATCTGTAAAAATAATATTGAAATGTATGGTTGCAGTGATTGCCCATGTAATAGGGCATCATTGGATGGCTATTTAAAATATTCTTTTTAATAGCTTTATTGTTTGTGTGTGTGTATTTATAATTTATGTAAATTTCCAGGAGTCATTTCTGGAATATATTGAGATTCCAAATAAATAAGTAAATGGCCAAACGTGTTGGCAAATCCACTGAACATCTGGGTAAGCTGTGATTTTAAAAATGCAGTTTACCCACTTCCATTCAATCCAAAGATTCCCTTAGGAAGGAAAAGCGCTTCCATGGGGCTTTCTCAGACATTTTTCAGAATTTGTCTGGATAAATTTGAAGGAACTAGCCACCCATTATCCCCATCCACAAATGTGTTTCCAAAGTTTGAAAAACCCTTTGGTGTCCACCCTTAGTTGAAATTAAGCAGGAGGCCTTGATCTCACCATCTGCTCAGTTAAAGTAGGTGAACACAGTGGCATCCACGGGGGTGTTAAAACTGCGGGGGTTTGCATTACATGATGCTCCATCCACCATTTTTCTGATTTTGGCCCACCCATCCTACAGATGCCAGCACCTCTGCTGGTTTTTGACCATAATAAAGATTTGATTGATTGATTGATTGATTGATTGATTGATGCCAGCCCCTCTGGAACTCTCCTGCAGGCTTGGGAGGAAATGGCCGTATTAGTCAAGCTGTTTCCCTTTCTTGCCAAGGAAGCACCATTGTCCAGAAGAAGTGATCGTTCGCGTTCCACATTCATTTTTTCTTTTGCAGTTTCTCAGAGGCAATAAATAAATAAATAATAAATACATCCACCCCAGGAATAACATGACCTACAGTAAGCAAGCTTTCAACCGTGTGTTTATCGGCTCGGTTCCTCGAGCCTCTCTCAGTACAAACAGACCACCCAGACCTGGCGGGGACTCCAGACTTCCTCCATGTCATTCCCTTGGTGTGTGCCAAAGCAGATGGGCTGGCGAGCTTTAGGACTCGCTGCTGCGTTGTCTGTTTGCTACACAGCCCTGGAGAACAGCTAAACAGTTTTGTTTCTGGTTTATAACTGGGCTGGTAGAAAGCTGGGGGGAGAAGTTAAGCTATTGCAGCCAGTCAGTTCCTCTCGATCCTTTTTCAGCCTAACCTACCTCGCAGAGTTGCTGTTAGGAAAAATGAGAGGAGATCATTTTAATATCATGGGTTTTGCCTTTTGCTCCCGGACAGCAAGATATAAAACAAACTAATCCCAGGTTTTTCGCTTCGGGAGAAAAAAAATCCTCAGGAAATGAAAACCCCAGTGAAGATTGTGCCCACTCACACAATGCTGGTTGAGTTTTAGGGAGAAGACCCCAAAAACACAGATCCTCCTTGTGATTAAACCTCAAATCATTTAAAAGCTGCATTCATGCAACACGCTTCACCTGCTCGCTGAATTCACCCATTTACTGGCGCTGTGCTTTACACTGGCCCATAAACTAAGCCGGCCCCCTCCCAAAAAAACCCCTAGAACAAAAACCTAAGCTAAGATCAAACCCAAGCCCAACTAAGCTATGTTATGAATGCAAACACTCGGTTTTTAACTCGACTGGTTATTTAAACCGGCCCCCCGCACTGCATTGAAGACTTAGTGCTGTTATTTCCTGCCCTCTGAAACTGATGCCTTTTGCTGTAAAACAGAGTTTCTCAGCCTTGGCAGGTTTCATAACCGGGGGGCGCCTAACCCCTCACATCTTCACCTAGCCCCGCCTGCTCAGGGGTGCGGTG